CAAAAAAATCCTTTTTGAAAAGTTTCCCCGCCATTCTTATTCAAATTCGAGCCCCATTATTGGCTTGCGTGAAATTTTTCACACGTGGCGGCTAGCGATTGGCTTGCTAGCCGTATAAAAGGCTTGAGTGGTTTTCGCCCAAGTTGGAGGACTCCACAAACACCAGGAGGAGGAGACTTCACGCTGTGTGAAGATCTCTAAGTGCTGCGGAGCCTATCGGACCCAGTGCATTTCAAGCAGGCAACAGGGGTCTGATCAGCCTCTAGCCTCTCCCCATCGCTGTTCGCAGTCCTCGACGTATCCCTCTCCCTGAGCGCAAAAGGATCCACGGAGCCTCGACAACTCCGTGGGAGTGATCCGAATATTGTCTGAGTCCTCAAACGAGGATTTAAACGGAGCTGTGCCTGGGAAACTGTCCAGCCTACACCGCGACCATCTTCGGTGTAAGTAAACAATCTTGAATCAACCATTACGCGTCCGTGCCTAATTCCAGCGTGTTGCCTGTTCTCTCCGACCCAGTGTGCCCGGGCTGCTGGCCACAGCCCGCGCGGCGCGAAAAAGGGCCCGGATCGCTCCCGGCCCGCACAGTTAGTATAAGCTGCGTAGATTGAACCAATAAGCAAGTGAACAGACATTCAGTTCTGCTTCTGGAAATGCAGCCACATGCCTGCAGGGGCTCAGGTCAGAAGCCAGAGCACACCTCCCTACTTATCTGGAGCAGACAGCTTAGGTCAAGGCTAGCCTGCCCACGCTGTAGGGGTGGGGTTTGTAAGGAAGGTGCAAAACAGCCTGGGATGCCGGGGGACTGTGAGTTGTACTTGAATCTGGATGGGATCTGGGATAGAAGTTCAGTAAACCGATTTAATCTAAATCCATTGAAGTCTGATACTACATCCATCCAGGTTTACCTTAAACCTGTTTCAGCCATTTATGTGCTGTGGACTTCTGTTGTCCCACAGATTTGAACCATTTTCCAATCACTTATACTGGTTTATGTGTAATTTCTATCCCTAGCCCTAGTGAGTACAGTTTTTGGTTCATGCTGACACATGTTGCCTTTCTGCCCTCATCCCTGTTTTGGAATGAGTAAGGAGCTTTGCCAAGTCAAATGGTGGGCCCAGCATTGGGCTTAAAGTGCTTTAACAGTTTGAACCAGAAGCTAAGAGTTAGATGGTGAAAACCATAAGAGAAGATTCTTGCTATTTTGGCGTTTTGTTGCACACTCTGGCAGTACATTTGACATAATGCTAGATCAAGTATTTGTGAAATACTTATTTTGGATGGTAACAAGTGGGCTATCCTGGGGCGAGTCCAGACGTTGACACACCCACTTGTCTAGGGCAGTCCGCCCACCTGCCTCATCTGCCATGCCTTCGGTATAATTCAAGATGTTTGTAGGTGAGAGGCTGCCCATTTAATTGCTGTGATGCCAAGGGTGAATACACGGCTCTGAACCTCCCCTTATACCATTGCCCATGCCTTGCAGCTAGTATCCATATTTATCATTCCTCCCCAGTCCCTTAGCTGAGCCATCACTTGGCCGCATCCTGCCTAAACTTGGCCTTGGGCGTCCTTAGACCTGCCTGGGCCCCCCGTGCTCCCACACTGGGACTCTCAGTCCCATACTCCTGAAGCCTCAACACCTGGGTCCTTCATGAGCCTCAAGCCTCAGTGGACCTGGGCCCTGTCTTAGGCCCCCTTCTCACAACCTGGACCCCACCTCAGGCTCCACTCACTGGTTCTTGGCCCTGTACTTTTCTGTCGGGGTGTGCTCCCGTAGCCTTTCCCCTCCACGAGGTCACTTGCAAGGCAGTGGGGGCTGAGGCTTTCTGGCCTCCCATACTCATCCTTCACTAGGGAGGCACAAGTGTTGCATTTTCTGAAGCTGCCCTGCCACTAGCATTCCCACCACAGCATCCAACCCCAGCAGGGTGTAGGTTTAGGTCATGCCCCAGGACCAGGAACCTTCTCTATCCCCACAGTTCCTACCCTGTCCTCTAGGTGTTCCTGAGCACCACCTCCAGCTGGGTGATGTTACTCCTTCAGCCCCCTGTAGCAACTACCAGCTCTGCTCTGGGGCCTAGCCCAGGTTCCCAGCCGCTCCACCAATCCCAGGTTCCAGCCTCTCCACCAGTCAGACGGCCTCCTGCCTAACATATGACTGCCTGATTGGGCCTGCTCTCACCTGCAGGCTGCTTACTGCCAGCTCAGACCCCTTAAAGTGGCAGGCACAAACTGTGTTCTGCCACACTGATTATTTTCTAACATGTATGTTTATATAGCAGAATATTGGCTCCTAATTACTTTTTGTTGTTGTTTTAATTTTTTCCCTCTTCTATGTTTGCAATAATTTAGGGGCTTGGACATTTTACCAAATAGTAATTGGAGGGCTATACTGCTAGATACAAAAGATGAGAATGTGTGGGAAGCAGCAGTGAGGTCCAGGATCATCAGCCTTGTGTGAAGCCAAGTTTCCTCCACCGCACAGAGCTGCTAGCAAAGAGTAAAGTCGTGGGGATTTTACCTAGGTTTTGTTCCTGAAAAACTGTTCTCATCTTCTGTATAATTTTTGGACTAGCAGGTAAATGTAAATGTTTGATAAATGTGAAGCTCTCACATTGATGCTGTATAAAAAAGGAACTTTTGGGCCTTTTCACACATTCATTTGCAACACTTGCAAATCATGGAAGTGTAGCCACCTATTAACCTTAGCATCTCTTTCAGATGAGATAAACCTTGCCTGATAGAGAGCAACTTGGCAACACCAGGGCTAAGTCCAGACATTTGGAAGTGTTAGGGGGAGGTTAAATTGATTCAAAATGGCTGCCCAATATCAGGTAAGTCAGGATGGGGGGCTAGCCAGGCAGTTGGGGGTCCAGCTGGCTGGGTGGGATCAGGGATCTGGGATCAGGGACCCGTTGGTGGGGGGGACCCTCCCCAGTAAAGCTACACCCTCCATCCTGCCTGCTCCTCCCTCAACTGGGACTTACTTGCTTGGCTCTGGCAGCAGCCAATGCTGATAAAGGTGACTGCACCTGGAGCAGCTTGTGGGATGAGGGAGGTGGGGGGCAAAGGTCGGTAGGGGACGGTAAAAAAAAAAATAAAAAAAGATCAGTGTAGGAGGAGCAGGGAGTGTAAAGAGCAGCCCTGGGGCTGGGGGCCAGTGGCTGGGTTTTTCCAGCCCTGGAGTTGTGCTGTGGAAGTGGACAGAAGTTCTATGCACAGGTTTGGCCTAAATCGAATAAATCTGGTACTACATAGATTCATAGATGTTAGGGTCGGAAGGGACCTCTATAGATCATCGAGTCCGACCCCCTGCATAGTCAGAAAAGAGTGCTGGGTTTAGATGACCCCAGCTAGATGCCTGTCTAACTTCCTCTTGAAGACCCCCAGGGTAGGGGAGAGCACCACCTCTCTTGGAAGCCCATTCCAGACCTTGGCCACTCTAACTGTGAAGAAGTTCTTCCTAATGTCCAGTCTAAATCTGCTCTCTGCTAGCTTGTGGCCATTATTTCTTGTAACCCCCGGGGGCGCCTTGGTGAATAAAACTTCACC